AACTGGATTTTTGAAACTGCTGTCTGAGGGGTTTCCCATTTTTTACTATACCCCAAATACGGTTTGCGCTACATAAAGAGGTTAAAAACTCACATTTAAGTTAATAGGAATATATTTAATGTAATGATAGGACATCCCTCCTATGATAAACCTGTGTTAAAATCATCACATCTGCAGGTCTTTTTCAGTACTCCCATGGAGTAAATTCTATTTTTTTTCGCTTGGATGTTCTTTTTTTGCTGGGATTGTTAATTTAGAATCGAGTTCATTCGGACTAAAATAACAGGAAATAAAAACATCCCCGTAGTGTTACTAATATGGCATCCCTAAATATTAAACAACACAACTGGCAATACCACTAACAGCTATCGATTATAGATACTCATCTGGTAACACTTACAATGCTTTCTGTCAAAGAACTTCCGCCAAATTGGTGTAAATAAACAACACCGTTACTTTTTATTTAACACAAAAAAGTCAAGTGTTCTGTCAGTGGCAAACACGAAGAGAATAAAAAGGATTTCCCTAATATTTTTGATTTTAATCAAAGAAAATCTTATTTAAAATTTCCGATACGTCATCAGTCTTACCTATTATAAACCAATTAATTATTTCATAAAGTACTTCTGTTTTAAATACACATAACCATTGTTTTTAGTCTTTATTTAATTTTTGTTCTCTTATTACCTTATTTTTACTCTACTCTATAAATGTCTTCAATTGTTCAGTAAAACTATTTACACAAAATTATATTAAATAATTTTAAAAACTAAACATTACATTAACTTACTTATTTATAAACATTTCAGTAAGAGTGAATTATTTTTTTTTTTACATTAAAGTGTTTTTCAAGTAATTTATAGTTCTTGCTACTTTACACAGATAATCAATTTGCAAAAAAGGGGAGATTTTATATTTGTTTTTATAAAAATAATTATTTTCTATTTAATTATTATAAATTAAATAAATTTACAATTCCATTATGGATTTTCTATAACAATTTTTAATTTAGGTTTTCATTTTTATTTATTAATTGCTACATTTATTACGAATACTTAGTAGAGGGAGATTTATATTAATAAAACGTTTTAACAAAAGAGTTTTTATTATTAACAAAATAAAAACAATATTTTGAAATTATAAAAATGTTTTCATACTTGGTCTATTTGTCTGCTTGTTTGTTTGTATAATGGGACGGATGTTGATTTTTTGATCAAATGGACTTCCCTTTAAAGTAAATTGTAATCTGAATTTTGATATTTCGTTGTTATGTAATGTAAGTATAAGCTGCTTATAATACTTATATTAATGTTATTATTCCTTTAATTAAATCGGTACTTAAAGTATAGATACATATTATATGTATGTCGTCTGTATGTCTATTTAAATCGAGCCTAAATCTAACCATACATGTCATTAACAATATTAGCAAGAGAAGGTCGTGAGATTTCTTAAGGCTAAGATCTATGACCTCATTAAATTTAGACAAGTTAAAATGATCTAATGCAGGAATAGAAAATTCAGTATTTGAATTTTTTTTCTACAAGATGTATTTAATTTAATAGACTAGTTTTTAGACTAGATCTTAAAATAGTCAAGTTAAATGTCAATAGACTAGTTCACAAACTAAAATATACTAGTCCATAGAGCAGTCAAAATAATAATAGGCGAGTTCATAGAATAGTTCCTAGAATACTCCATAGACAAGATAGACCAAAATTTAGGTTCAAGACTAGTTCATAGTTTAGTAGTTTCTAGACTAGATCCTAGATAGCCCAAAGAATTGTAGACTAGTCTTTAAACTAGTCCATAACCTAGTCAATAGACTAGTCCCTAGACTATATAGCCTATAGACTGGTCTCGTGACAAGTTAATTAAAAGTCAATAGAGTAATCTTTATGCTAGTCCATAGACTAGATAGTCCAATAATATATACTGATTGCTAGACTAGCAATATACTGATTGCTAGACTAGTCAATTACTAGTTATTAAATAGATTATTCTATAGACTATTCCGTATACTAGTGCCTAAAATAGTCCTTATATAGTATTCTATAGACTAGCCTATAAACTCGTGCCTAGATAGTCCCTAGAATAGTCAACAGATTATTCAACAAACTAGTCCATAGAAGAGACCCTAGTTCATATGCTAGTCCGTACACTAGTACACAACTTAGTCTATAGACTAGTTCTTTGAATAGTCTATACATTAGTCCTACATAAGTCCCTACACAAGTCTCTAGACAAGTCCATAGACTAGTTCCTAGACACCTTTTCTTTGTTTCTAAATATGTTTTTAATACTTTAGTTTGTAGTTAATTAGTTTGAAATAGACTAGTCCATATACTTGTTCCTAGACTAGTCCATATTCTAGGCCATAGAGTAGTCCATAGACGAGGCCCTAGTTCATATACTAATCCGTACACTACTACATATGTAACTTAGTCTATAGACTAGTACTTAGAATAGCCAATACATGCTTAGGATTACACAAGCCTATAGACTAGTCCCTACACAAATGCCTAGACTAGTCCGTAAATAAGTCCATATACTAGTCCCCAGACTCCTTCTCTCTGTTTCTATATGTGTAATAATTTGGTTGTAGTTAATTAGTTGGAAATACCAAATGACATTATTAACTATTCTCATAAAACTATTAAGTTTATAAATATTCTTTAAAATTATAATTGGTGTCAGTCCCATAAAGTCCGGTTTTGATTTAAATTTTGTCTAATTAAAAAAAAAAAAATCATAAGAAGATATAGTTTTCGTTGTGTGATTTTTTTTTTTAATTACAAAAATAAACTAAAAATTCCTATACAAAAATCTAAAAAATTTCTTAATAACATTTTCAACATGTTTTTAATTATTTTTATTTTCTTACAATACACATTTAAACATTTAGATTTTTCAAAAAATTTTATTTTTTAATATTTCTTCATACTTTTTATAAAGTAGATTAAAGCGTTTTAGTAATTGTTGTTTTGTATTTAGCTAATGGTTCAATTTAATTAAAACTTCAATTGAAATTATTTCATAAACAACAGGACTTACTTTTGTTTAACATTTGTCATAAGAATTAACGTTTTTTTTTTGTTTTGGTACTAAATTACTATTTTTCTTTAAATGATAAAAACAAAATAAAACTCATAATTGTTTAAAGTTTAAATAAAATTATATTTTTTTATTGCTAGTTATAATAAAATTAAAATTATAAAAATATAATTTGCTTAATAAAAACAATTGTTTTAATTGCCCCTAAAATTTGTTGATTTTTCTTAAAGAAACAAAAAAATATATAAAAAAAATAAAACTAAAACAAATTATTAAAAATAATTATTTTAAAATAGGTTTAATATATTACCACTAACACTAATAATACATAAACAGTTATATTTATATATTTTTTATGTATATTTTAGTTTTAGTTTTTAATTTAAAATTAAATTACATCAGACGACATTTAGTGGACACAAAAATATTTTGTTGGGAGTGCTAAAATCTCTATATTAAATACTATTTTTTCCAAACAAATACAAAAAACATTTAGAAAAAATACTTTTATTTTATTAATATAACATTATTTATTATTGTTAATTTATTAATTAATAACATTCAAGTGTATATAGTAATTGGTGTAATACATTTTACAATTATGTTGTAGTTTTTCTTTTTAGGTTTATATTTGAAAACTTAAATATTTTAGTTTCTTTTGTCTAGTACATAAATTCCAATAAAACTCAGTCTAAATTCTGGAATTGGTCAATAATAAAATGTTACTTAAATTCTGTAGTTTTTTTTAATTTAATTCTTTCTTTTATTTTATTATAAATAAATAACAATTTTCTTTTTTTTTATTTGCTTTTCAAAACTAAAAGTTTACAAAATATCTATGGTCAATATTTAGAAGTTGGACTTTTTTTCAATAAAGCTTTTCTTTTTGAGGATTTTTCTTTAGTTTTTAAATGAAAAATATTTGTTTGCAGTTAATAAATTTTATAGTTTTTTTTCGCCTTAAAAAGGACTCGTTTATCTACCCGTAATTTATAAATATTTTAAAGTTATAATTTAAATTTTCTGTTTACAAATCTTTAACAATTGTTTAAGGTTTGTTTTTATTTTAACCGAATTATGGTCCTTCGAAAGATTACAGTTTCGTCTTTAGACAATGAAACCGTTATAGTTGAGCTTTTAAGTGTTAAAGCTGTGTGACTGAATAGCTATTGGTGTCAGTTTGGCCTATTCGAAAAAGTCTGTTCTTTAAATCTTTAATTTTTATTTCAAACGTATTGCTTGGATAACATTTCTTTAAACGATTTCTGAATATTTCGAATGGTTTGAAATCGGCATGCTAAGACATGCTTCGTCCTTGTTTTAATTCGAGTCTTTGATATTTAAAAGATTTGTGAATAAAACATCTCAAATATCGGACTATATATAAAAAGCTTGCATTGTGTTATTGTCAAGTGTTTATAGGTCCTTCGAAGACCAAAAATGCCACCTTGGGACTACTAAAAAGAGTAAACTAGTCTTTATACCCTATACTAGTCTATAACATAGTCATTAGACAATCCAATAGTCTAGTCCATAAACTAACCCGTAGATAGTCCATAGTCAGGTCTCTAGAAAAGTTAACTATTCCATATACTAATTCAAATACTAGTCCCTAGACTAATCCTTATGCTAGCTCATAGACTAGCCCCAATAGACCATCTATTCCATAGACTAGCCCATATACTTGTCCCTAGGTAGTCTATAGGTCTACTAAACGGATCATGTACTGCAATAAGTTTTGCAGGGCAGACTCTAGTCTGGTCAGACTAGTGGCCAATTATTACTAAATGTAGAATACCGAAGAGCATGTTTAGGAAAAAGCGAGACTTGAACTTATAGGTATACTTATTGCACACAGTACAATTCTAAATATGTCTCAAAGTGTCATGGATTTAGTACAATTAGAAATATTGCTTAGTTCGAAATTGGCTTTAGATAATGATTTATGGCCACAACAGCAACCGAGCTCGTTGCTAGTTAAAGAACCACTTTACAAATAAGAAACTTAAATATGTATGGATATAGTTCAATTAGTAATATCGCTTAGTTCGAAACCGTCTTTAGATAGAGATAATGATTCGTGGCCACAACAGCAACCGTGCTCGTTGCTAGTTAAAGGACCGCTTTACATAATGAACCTACAAATGGTCCTTCGAAGCCTATAATATTATACGAATAGCTCATATCAATCACCTAATAGCAGCACTCAATGCAAAGAAAACCTTCAAGGATTTAAATTCGCTCTAAAACATAAAACTCTAAAACACAACAGAACTACAAACTCCCTCCCCTCAACACACTTAAATCAAATGAGACTTGCGATTTGAATGTTCTATAGCCGCCAACAGCTCATGTTTTTGTCTAACATATAAACGACCCTTTTTCCAAGGATTTTGCAGCAGTAAAGGCTTAAAATCATCACGCAAACAACGTTCCCTCGCACCAATCACTGCCACTAAACAGAAATTATCCAACATATCGGTTGAATAAATGGGACCATTACTGCCCTTAAGAACGGCAGCCATATTTAATTGTTTTACCACTAAATTAACCACCTCACGGGCGGTGGTCTTGGCGGTGACATGCAATTTAAGACTAGTGCCCGAAGCTAAGCCGGTATTATAAGCTGTATAGACTTGTATAATACCCGAAGGAGTATTAATGGCTTCTGTATTGTCGGTGGCTAAGCTAGGACAACTAGTAGCGGTGTACTCCTCTTGGCTGCTTTGTCTTTGTAGATTTTTGCTGTTAGAAGACGAGGAGGTAGCAGCAGTGGGTGCTAGATTTTCATCTAAACTAGTGCAGTTGGTTTTCTTTATTTCACTTTTTATGGTGGTTAGAGTGGTCTTCAAGTAGAGGGCATTGTCTCTTAGATTAGCACTGGAGGCGGATTTGACTTTTTCGGCTGTTTTGATTTGTTTACTTTCATATTCTCCATTGTAATTAACTTTCAGCGACTGACATGAACCACCTGACGCAGAATCACGTCCTAGGTAAGGTACCGAGGAGGAATGTACCGTTATTAAAGGAGTTACTGGCGTTGAAGTGGGTGTTATATTTGAGCATGTACGTTTTCTTTGTAGAATTTGTGATTTTTGATTTTGTTGCCTAGCGGCCTCACTAAGTGTGTCGTCTGACCTTGATGGTGGCATATTGAATATTTGACCAAAATCACTTGCACTCGTTAAGACGGAATCAGTGGCAGAATTAAAACTCTGTGTAGTGTAGTGAGAGGTACCCGAATCACCTGAATTCTTACGCAATGACATATCGGAAGTCATGAAATCATTGTTGACCTGCAGGTAATTAGGAGTAGCTGGTGTAGCTGCATTAGTTTGTGAAGTCTGCATTTGATTTTGCTGCTTTTGATGACTTGTCCCTGAAGTAGGAGTAGTGGCTTTCAAGCCTAGATTTTGTTCGGACTTGGAGTGTTCAGGTCCCATATTCATATTGCCTGCAGTAGAAGCTCCCGGTCCTGGCCAACTACCTCTACCCGAACCAGATTTGGTGAATTTCATATCTCTAATGGGAGGCTGCAGCAGTTGAGAACTCTCATCCACCTGTTGACCAAAATCTAGAATTTCTCTCATCGCGGCGGAAGGTGGAGCATTTTTATCTCTAGCAAAAGCTATAACATCCATTAACCAGCGTACCGCTTTCCAAACGGCATTTAAGCTGAAAGTCAATTCCTGTAATTTGGCTAGACGCTCTTTTGCTGTCTGCAGTTCCAAAGTGGAGAAAGCTTCTCTTTGTGAGTGATTAGCTAAAGCCGTATCCAGTTCCAAAATACACGAAAGTCGAGCATATTTCTGTATTATGCCCGGTTGATAGGTACTTAAGTGTATCATTTCAAAGGCCTGAATACTTAAACTGGCCAAATCTTCACGCTGCAGCAATAGCTCCGATTGTCCTGGCACAGCACAACTTAACTCTACAGAGGGACATATAATTAGGAAACTTATCTCTTTGCTATGCTCTATAACTTCCACATCATATAAACGGTGGGTGGAGGCCTCTTCTGGTTTAATGTTCATATACTTAAATAGCTTATGTGTGGCTGTAGTCAGATCGTATAAGAACAATCTTTGCACCTCGGTAGTAGCTTCTGAGTTGGTATTGAAATTTAATGTAAGCCTTAAAGGACTAGCACTTCTACGACCATCGTTCGATCTATCTTCTGCATTCTTTTTCAAAACCTGCCATTCTTCGGCAGTTATGTGACTATTATCTCTAACTTTGTAATGAGGCAAGACATTGGGTGTCTTAGCAGGCACCACCACCTGTATTTGATCCATAGAACATTGCATTTTCAAATAACCCAAATACAAACCGGGCGTTAAACGTTGCAAGGCGGTCTGATGATATTGTATCTGATCGGCTATGGATGTTATTAAGACCTCATTAATATTGTACTCTTCATGTATAGCTCCGATTTTCTTTTGCAATTTATTGACGGGCAACCAGCGGGAATTTAAAATGGAAACAACTTTTTGACTTTTGACGGATTGTATGCAGGTTAAAACCACAGTACCATGAGCATCTCTTAAAGGTTTATAATACAACTGACCGAGATCGTTAAAACCCAAGGCAGATTGCATTTGACAAACAGCTGACAGAAGTTTGGTGCGAAAATGATTTGCAGAAGTAAGATTGCGTTCCATATCGGTGCGCAGAGATTTTACATCATCCCAAGTGCAGGCCACCTAATGGGAAAATGTATAATCAGTTTTCTTAAGATATAGGAATTCCCAACAAGTGCTTACCTTCATTAGCCAGTGATAGTCACTGTAAAGGGAGCTAGGATACGATTCATCAATTTCGATTACGGGTAGAAAATCTTCACTAGTCACCAAAACCTTATCCTCACAGTAAACAATACTGGCCAAATAAATTCCCCTAAAATGGAACCATTTTGATTTGCTTAATATAACATTTTATATAAATTTCATTTAAAACTTACCTTCTCAGATGCTTTTGGAATTTGGAAGCTACTGAAAATAATTGCTTAATCGTAGTTTTCTTTTTGGGATTTCTTCTTTGCTGACTATTTGTATCCAAAGTCAATTCAGACACATCGGCTGGTCGCGCCAAACGCACCGCTGTAAATAAATTATCCAACATGCGTTGACGTCCCAAATAACGATCTTCCCGATTATTAAGATCACGCCAACCTATAAAAGAAAATTTATATAAATTTTCTGTTATTGTGGGAAATATTAAATAACATACTTGATGGTACTATGCTGGCGGGCACGGATGTTTTATAGGGACCCCATCCTTTAACATTACCACATGCAGCACGCAAGAAATATCGTCTTCCCTGTGTTAGACCAGATATATGACACTGAGTACCCATTGTACCATGAAAACTACGCCAATCCATGAGCTCACGTTCACCAACAATGTTACTGAAGTCAGCACGAGTTGACCATTGCACTGAAAGAGAAAGCAGGAATAATTATACTCTGCAACTAGGAGAAATATCGTTTTTAATTAATTTTTATATAGATTATTAACTGAATGATCATGTTTTGTTCGATTCTTACTGTACTTACTGTTTGGAATAATGGTTTTGTTTATTTTTGTCAGTTCTATGGCGTCGGTATTTACAGTTTTATTCTATAATTAGAAAATCTTAAACACTTGCCGATAAGTACTAACTTAGACTGTGATTTGTTAGCAAATGAATTTATAATTCCTAAACTCTTACTAAACATCCCTTATCTGAAGTTTGTCTTGAAGTTACCTGCTTTTTGCTAGTAGGTAAAATATTTAGTTCTTATTTGTTTTCGTAACTTGTAGAGAAAATCTTTACGTTTTTAATTGTTTCATTTCTATAAATGGGTTTTACCCACTTTAGAAACTATTTCCCAAAAAAAATTTAATTACAAGGAAACAATATGTAAACACATCTTGTTTATTTTCGTACATGTAGTTGTAAACAGGATTTAAACATTAAACAGTTTTATGGCAGTTTAAAAACTGTCATTGACATGCTAAACTATGTTTATTTAAACTGTCAGTTGATAGACAAGAAAATTAAAATGTTAAGATTTGATGCAGATTTTGAGGATAAAATAGATTTTATAAAAACTAATTAAATAGTAATTTTACCATAGATCTGATGATATTGTATTTGAATACTAGATATGTTACTTTTTGTACGGGAACTACAAAACCCCCTACAGGGGTATTTGTTAAGAAACTATTAAAAAAATCGGAAAAACGATTGAGTTAACCTTTCTTTAGGCTTTTTTCTTTGGGGGTACATCAATATCGAATGTGAAATTTCTAATCTTTTGGCTGTGGATTCGATTGGTGGCAGACTTCTGAATATTGTCGTATTCCATAATAATTTACTCTTTAATATGAAATAAAAATCATTTCCGTAAGTAACCCATAGGTCATCTAATTGTGAAAATAAAATACATCGTTGTTAATGAGAAACCTAATAGGTTCAAAATTGCTAGAATGATCAAGACTTCTATTGGGTCTTTCAGTAAGTATTTCCGACAATTCATAAAGGTCATATTGTGGATGCAACAGTTATCGCATTGGTTGCCATTTATTCAAATTGTCTTGCTATGCTACCATGAATAGCTATAGCGTTCAAAGTTACGTACAAATGATAAAATTGTTTTATCAAAATGTGTATTGGGTTCCGGTAATCTTTCAACAAAAACTTATTTTCAGAGATGAAGCTCATTTCTGTAAGAATGGTAAGTCAACAAGTAAACATTATAAAACTTTGTACGATATATTTCTACATGATATTCGAGGTGGATATGATACCCTATAAAAGTGAGTATGAAATTTTTACCTTAATTTTTACAATTTGTTGACAAGAAAAGATATTTTCTGTAAGAGGGGTTATATGGGGCAAGGGTTAAGTACGGGCCTTTCCACATTAATTTGGATAGAGGGATTTACATTTGCATAAAAGTTAATAATGCAGAATTTTATCTTAAAACTAGTTTTTACAAGTGTATTACACAGGCCGACAAAGTTTGGAAAAAGTCGAGACCACATTATACTTTTCGTAAGGATTGAGCCGAATCTGACTTCAGATTTTCTCCATCTGAGATATTGTGTCCAGAAGTTTGTAAAAAAAAGAAGACAACTTTATAATAAAGGCCTGTGTTATTCAAGCCCCAACATTTCGACCTTTAGCGTGCGCACGGACGGACGGACATAGCTTAATCGATACAGAAAATGATTCAGATTAGCACACTTTACGGTGGTTGAAGGAAAAATATTTTTTGGTCCCCAGTGGTATAAAAATCTGGCTCCGTATGAGAGATAAATACTTTAAGAGAACGTAAAGGAGATACTTTCAGTATAAGATTTTCACGAGATTGAAAAGGATTTTAGATTTTTCAATATTTCTTGATTCCTACTATATATTCAAGACTATATATGCTATAGCTATGTTAAAGAATCATTGCAAGATGTGGATTATGTATACTTAGAGCGGGTTTTTGAGATAGTAATCAAATACCAATTAATAATCAGATTAGTTAATCTAAAAATAAATTTAATCTTATGTTAATCCCCTTTGATGTTTTTGAGTACAAGATTAAACTTCGCAGTGTTGCCATACAAAACAACAGAAAATGTCACTGTTTGTCATCAAACCAATGCATATTTTATAAAAAAGAAGAAGACAATTGTAAATTTAATATGAAAATTAATGAAAACTTAAATTAAAAACAAAAAATGTATTTTGAAGTGTCCATAATTTATACTAATCAATAAATAGAACATTTTAATGTTTATATTTATAAAAATTTTATTAATTTTTTTGCATCAGCTGTTTACACTTTTGCTTTTCGTGCTTAAGATTAAACCACCTCTATTGGGCGCTTAAACTTGCAAACAAAATTAACTAATTGAGTACTCAAAAACATCTTTCAAGGATTAATTTTAATTTAATCGCTAATCTTTCACCTAAAGATTGGCCCTTAAAGCCAACATTACCAAATAAAAATTAACTTTAATACTATTTAAATTCCAGAGAAATGACCTCTCATTATTAAAATACGGAAACATTATATAAAAATAAAATATAAATAAAAATGTCCTTGTCCTTTAGTTTAACGTTAATAATTTACTATTAAATTCTAAGCAAAATTCCCACAAACAAGTACAAGTATATTTTAGAGTTAATTGTTATTTGTGATTTCCTGGAAAAGATATCAAACAGGAATTCTCTTGGATGACATTTATTGCCTTGGTTAAAATTAATGATGCTTTAATTGTTTTCTTTTGTTAAATATTGATTCCCTTAGGTGTAGCAAAGGATACTAGTATAAACAGGAATTTAGTAAAGCATATCCTTAAGAGGAGTTGCTTCTTTTAAATACATACTGTTACACAATGTTAACAAAGTAAATTACCCGGAATTTGTGTAAGACCAGGATTGCAGTGAAATGAAGTACAGACATAAAAGGGTGTTGGAGTGTCTCGTTTACTCAATATTCGACAGGAATTTGAAAAACACTAGTCAACATAACAATACTCATGGTATAGTATGTACTTGTATTCTTCTCATGCAATCAATGTCCTATTGTATTGTTCAATTTTTTCTTATAATTGTTGTCATATTTATTTACCTTTGAATTTAGTACCAATTGCTCCTTCGAATGGTTCAAGCATTTGCACTTGTATTGAATTATCACCCGTTACATCAACAACAACTGATGCTGGTGCATCTGGGGGTCGTGCTTGATCCCAGCCCAATAGTAGACGACGTAAACCTTTGACACGTCTTTCCCATATGCCAATTTGTTTGTCAACTTCATTGCCGGTACAACCGGTTACGGAAGAACCCGTATTACCTGTGAAAAGATAAATGAGAAAAGAAATAAATTATTGGAAAATTGATAAAGTTGAAAGGATGTTATATGTAATAAGGATGAGATTCGTATCTGGGGATTGTGTAGTTTTAATTTGAGGAATATTGCAGAGTTGGGGAATGAATTTGAAATCACATATTTAAAATTCACCATAAATTTATTACATATTGAAAATTTCAATTTGAAATACTTTCCTATATTTAATAGGATTACATAAAATAATTAAAATATTTTGTTTATATAAAGCAAAAATCAAAATCCACACAAGACAATAACCTACTTACTGATAAACGTAGTAAAGTTCTGGGAGTACTTTTCAAGAATGACTGCAAAATGTGCAGTTGAGCAAGTAAGTAACCTTTCAATATAAACAATTAGGTGAGTTCATATTAAAGAATAAATTTGAATTCCCTAGAATTTAATATAATTAAATGAAAATTTGCAGAAATATGCTTAGGGTTGTTTATCAGTGGTTACAAGTCAATCGTGAAGATTGACCTTTGACCTTCAAAATCTGAAGTAGCAGACAGAAGCTGCTAAACGACTCTAACCTCTTTTCGAGATCATTAAGTTAAAGGTCAATAACGATTTTTAATTTTCAACTGTTCATTAGTGGTTTCTTACGCATTTTCCACCATTTTAAGCTCTTATGAACTGCGGACATCCCCAATAATAAAACAATAATCGTAAAGTTCATTTCATTCAATTGGCATTTCCAAAAGTTGTGCACATACATACTTACATACATACATCCATACGTATTCTTTAGTCTGTATGTAAGTAACTGTTAGTCATTTGAGTACACACATTCTTAACAGATTGGAAGACTTGGAAGTAGGGTAATGTGAATTCAATTAAGTATAATGTATTTCAAATTGTTTGGCTTTTCACAAACACCCACACAAAGAGATTCTCTTTGGATCTATAGATGTATATAGTATACGAACGCCCTCAAAATTTTTTACAAAAATTTAAGCATTTTATGGGGGAAGCATTGCAGTTTTCTTTTAAGCACACACTACTTAATGTATGTGATTGTTAAATATACGTATTTTTAAGTATTATTACTTAGTTATTATTGAGAGAGTAAATATTTGTTTTATTGCTTTATGATTTACTTACCAATAATAATGCTTGAAATTGAGGGTCGTGATGAAAATGAAGGTTGACATGTACCCTCTAGACCGCTTAAATCATTAATACGCAATTCGGCATCTTTTAATAAACCATTCAATTTTGTGCCAATGCTATCGACGGAAACTATAGAAGAGTTAATGAAAATTATTGTGGTTAAAAATTAGATCAAATTATACGGAGACAAGAGAAATAAGTTGGTTGATAAAAAATATTTAAAACAGACATGGCTAATTCTGTACTATTTTACTTTTTTCAGTAAATTTTGATATTGAAAAACTAGCTTATTGTCTAGTCTATAGTCTAGTCTATAGTCTAGTCTATAGTCTAGTCTATAGTCTAGTCTATAGTCTAGTCTATAGTCTAGTCTATAGTCTAGTCTATAGTCTAGTCTATAGTCTAGTCTATAGTCTAGTCTATAGTCTAGTCTATAGTCTAGTCTATAGTCTAGTCTATAGTCTAGTCTATAGTCTAGTCTATAGTCTAGTCTATAGTCTAGTCTATAGTCTAGTCTATAGTCTAGTCTATAGTCTAGTCTATAGTCTAGTCTATAGTCTAGTCTATAGTCTAGTCTATAGTCTAGTCTATAGTCTAGTCTATAGTCTAGTCTATAGTCTAGTCTATAGTCTAGTCTATAGTCTAGTCTATAGTCTAGTCTATAGTCTAGTCTATAGTCTAGTCTATAGTCTAGTCTATAGTCTAGTCTATAGTCTAGTCTATAGTCTAGTCTATAGTCTAGTCTATAGTCTAGTCTATAGTCTAGTCTATAGTCTAGTCTATAGTCTAGTCTATAGTCTAGTCTATAGTCTAGTCTATAGTCTAGTCTATAGTCTAGTCTATAGTCTAGTCTATAGTCTAGTCTATAGTCTAGTCTATAGTCTAGTCTATAGTCTAGTCTATAGTCTAGTCTATAGTCTAGTCTATAGTCTAGTCTATAGTCTAGTCTATAGTCTAGTCTATAGTCTAGTCTATAGTCTAGTCTATAGTCTAGTCTATAGTCTAGTCTATAGTCTAGTCTATAGTCTAGTCTATAGTCTAGTCTATAGTCTAGTCTATAGTCTAGTCTATAGTCTAGTCTAATCTATAGTCTATAGTCTAGTCTAATCTATAGTCTAGTCTAATCTATAGTCTAGTCTAATCTATAGTCTAGTCTAATCTATAGTCTAGTCTATAGTCTAGTCTAATCTATAGTCTAGTCTAATCTATAGTCTAGTCTAATCTATAGTCTAGTCTATAGTCTAGTCTATAGTCTAGTCTATAGTCTAGTCTATAGTCTAGTCTATAGTCTAGTCTATAGTCTAGTCTATAGTCTAGTCTATAGTCTAGTCTATAGTCTAGTCTATAGTCTAGTCTATAGTCTAGTCTATAGTCTAGTCTATAGTCTAGTCTATAGTCTAGTCTATAGTCTAGTCTATAGTCTAGTCTATAGTCTAGTCTATAGTCTAGTCTATAGTCTAGTCTATAGTCTAGTCTATAGTCTAGTCTATAGTCTAGTCTATAGTCTAGTCTATAGTCTAGTCTATAGTCTAGTCTAGTCTAGTCTATAGTCTAGTCTATAGTCTAGTCTATAGTCTAGTCTATAGTCTAGTCTATAGTCTAGTCTATAGTCTAGTCTATAGTCTAGTCTATAGTCTAGTCTATAGTCTAGTCTATAGTCTAGTCTATAGTCTAGTCTATAGTCTAGTCTATAGTCTAGTCTATAGTCTAGTCTATAGTCTAGTCTATAGTCTAGTCTATAGTCTAGTCTATAGTCTAGTCTATAGTCTAGTCTATAGTCTAGTCTATAGTCTAGTCTATAGTCTAGTCTATAGTCTAGTCTATAGTCTAGTCTATAGTCTAGTCTATAGTCTAGTCTATAGTCTAGTCTATAGTCTAGTCTATAGTCTAGTCTATAGTCTAGTCTATAGTCTAGTCTATAGTCTAGGTCTATAGTCTAGTCTATAGTCTAGTCTATAGTCTAGTCTATAGTCTAGTCTATAGTCTAGTCTATAGTCTAGTCTATAGTCTAGTCTATAGTCTAGTCTATGTCTAGTCTATAGTCTAGTCTATAGTCTAGTCTATAGTTAGTCTATAGTCTAGTCTATAGTCTAGTCTATAGTCTAGTCTATAGTCTAGTCTATAGTCTAGTCTATAGTCTAGTCTATAGTCTAGTCTATAGTCTAGTCTATAGTCTAGTCTATAGTCTAGTCTATAGTCTAGTCTATAGTCTAGTCTATAGTCTAGTCTATAGTCTAGTCTATAGTCTAGTCTATAGTCTAGTCTATAGTCTAGTCTATAGTCTAGTCTATAGTCTAGTCTATAGTCTAGTCTATAGTCTAGTCTATAGTCTATAGTCTAGTCTATAGTCTAGTCTATAGTCTAGTCTATAGTCTAGTCTATAGTCTAGTCTATAGTCTAGTCTATAGTCTAGTCTATAGTCTAGTCTATAGTCTAGTCTATAGTCTAGTCTATAGTCTAGTCTATAGTCTAGTCTATAGTCTAGTCTATAGTCTAGTCTATAGTCTAGTCTATAGTCTAGTCTATAGTCTAGTCTATAGTCTAGTCTATAGTCTAGTCTATAGTCTAGTCTATAGTCTAGTCTATAGTCTAGTCTATAGTCTAGTCTATAGTCTAGTCTATAGTCTAGTCTATAGTCTAGTCTATAGTCTAGTCTATAGTCTAGTCTATAGTCTAGTCTATAGTCTAGTCTATAGTCTAGTCTAATCTAGTCTAGTCTAATCTATAGTCTAGTCTAATCTATAGTCTAGTCTAATCTATAGTCTAGTCTAATCTATAGTCTAGTCTAATCTATAGTCTAGTCTAATCTATAGTCTAGTCTAATCTATAGTCTAGTCTAATCTATAGTCTAGTCTAATCTATAGTCTAGTCTAATCTATAGTCTAGTCTAATCTATAGTCTAGTCTAATCTATAGTCTAGTCTAATCTATAGTCTAGTCTAATCTGTAGTCTAGTCTAGTCTATAGTCTAATCTATAGTCTAATCTATAGTCTAATCTATAGTCTAGTCTATAGTCTAGTCTATAGTCTAGTCTATAGTGTAGTCTATAGTCTAGTCTATAATCTAGTCTATAGTCTAGTCTATAGTCTAGTCTATAGTCTAGTCTATATTCTAGTCTATAGTCTAGTCTATAGTCTAGTCTATAGTCTAGTCTATAGTCTAGTCTATAGTCTAGTCTCTATAGTCTATAGTCTAGTCTATAGTCTAGTCTATAGTCTAGTCTATAGTCTAGTCTAGTCTAGTCTATAGTCTAGTCTATAGTCTAGTCTATAGTCTAGTCTATAGTCTAGTCTATAGTCTAGTCTATAGTCTAGTCTATAGTCTAGTCTATAGTCTAGTCTATAGTCTAGTCTATAGTCTAGTCTATACTATAGTCTAGTCTATAGTCTAGTCTATAGTCTAGTCTATAGTCTAGTCTATAGTCTAGTCTATAGTCTAGTCTATAGTCTAGTCTATAGTCTAGTCTATAGTCTAGTCTATAGTCTAGTCTATAGTCTAGTCTATAGTCTAGTCTATAGTCTAGTCTATAGTCTAGTCTATAGTCTAGTCTATAGTCTAGTCTATAGTCTAGTCTATAGTCTAGTCTATAGTCTAGTCTATAGTCTAGTCTATAGTCTAGTCTATAGTCTAGTCTATAGTCTAGTCTATAGTCTAGTCTATAGTCTAGTCTATAGTCTAGTCTATAGTCTAGTCTATAGTCTAGTCTATAGTCTAGTCTATAGTCTAGTCTATAGTCTAGTCTATAGTCTAGTCTATAGTCTAGTCTAGTCTATAGTCTAGTCTATAGTCTAGTCTATAGTCTAGTCCATAGCGGAAAATTAGTTTATTACTTTAAACCCTAAAATGTGTTCCTTTTTGATATAAGTACTATTTTAAAGTTTCAACTTTCCATCCTGGTCAATAGACTAGTCCATAGTAAGTCGATTAGTCCACAGACTTTTCCATCGACTACTACATAGTCTAGTCCGTGCAATAGTTCATTGTCTAGTCAATAGATCAGTGCTGCGAATAGATGGGACCCTATAATACTCAATAAATTTGTACTAGTCATAAGACTATTAAAAAGAATAGATCCTAGACAAGTCCATTGACTAGTTCAGAGACTAGCACATAGGCTAGTTAATGGACTAGTACCCAGACTAGTTAATGGATTCGTTCATAGACTAATCCATATAATCGTAAATCGATTAGTCAATTGACTACTCCATATAATAGACATATAGTTGTCAATAGATTAGGCCATAGATTTGTTCATAGACTAGTCCTTATGCTAATAGATATGGACCAGAGAATAGAGTAGTTAATAGACTAGTACATAGACTATTCATGGATCTACTTAATAGATTAGCCCAAGACTAGTCCATAGACTAGTTAATAGTCTAGGCAATGACAATAACTAATAAAAGTTCTCTTTGTGGTAAAAGTTAGTACTATTTCTAAATTTCAATTTACTATGCCTGTTCTAAAAGCAAAAATAATTTAGTAGGTACATAAGATAAACTTACATTGTGATCCTTCCAAAGCACCATGTTGCAATAGCATTTTTGTCATTGAACGATTATTGCTCAAAACGGCTACATCCAATGCCGACAAACCATCAGTATTAATGCTATAAAAGACAATTTAAGAAATACATTAAATTTTATTTTAAACTGAATTTATTGGACTCGTCCTTCTTCTCCGGCACACACTTACCTATTTACATCCACATCTGTTGACTCTAAAATGGTGCGAGCCTTATCTAAATGACCATGTTCAACAGCCGAAAAAAGGGCTAAAGTGTAAAAGAGAAGACAAATTGAAATGACAATTATTATAAATTAAGGAAAAAGTCAAAGTTAAGAGGACATAAAATTATCAAGTGCTTTTTAAATTGCACTCAATTTTTAAACAAGTGTGTGTGTACTTGTACTCGTGTGTATGTTAGTTTGAGAGTGAGATTAAATTAAATTTATTTATTGCTGGAAATGTTGCCAAGAAATCGGCAATTTTTTTTCTTAGTTCTCATTTTGGTTTGATAGGGTTTTTTTTGCTATAATCTGGAAGGGTTTTGAAAGAATGAATTCATTTGAAGAAAGGAGTGAAAATTTCTCTCATCAAGGGTGAAATAAGGGGAATTGCGAATATTATAATCAAAATCCTTTTCTATAAATCCAAATTTTCATAGATAAATGAAATTAATTAATTTAATGGACTCATTCTGATAGGTTTCGAGTTTGCACTAGGGGAATATCCGATATTCCGGAGTTAGAAATTGTCGGGAATTGTGAGTCATTGATCCAAGATAGAAGATCATGGTCATTAGAGAAAAAACTTTGGAGAAAACACATTTTGCTACACGTATGGCTCTAAACTGGGAGATAAAACGGACCTGGGGATCTACAGTGACGGTTTATGGGGATCTACCCCATATAGGTCACTATGTTCATTTTTATTAAAAAAAATTACCATGATAGAAAGCCAACAACAGGTCCGAAGAGGAAAATGTGGGATTTGACAAAATAACCTACCGGCATGTGACCGTTTCGCTAATTTTGGAATAAACAGAAGGTATCATAATTTTTAAGGTTTTTATGAATAGAGATGTATTGCTTAAAACATTGGCTTGAGAATGTACGATCTTTGTAAAAATGGATGTATATGAAGAATTGACAAATCTAAGCTCGGGACAAAATCTTTAATTGTTTTTATGTGTAGAGAAATTCCCACAGAGAGAAAACGTACGAACTTTGTAAGATCAGATGTATTTGATAATTTAAAAATTTTATGAAAAAGATCTTTGCACGGATTTATCTATCAATTTCTTGAGACAAAAATTTTCAATCCTCCAAAATATTGAATCTCTTTTTAATTTTCAAGTACTTTAAAGTTCTGCCTATAAAAAGTAATCTATATTTCAGTTTCATTATTACCATGCAAGTGTAGATTGCACTGTGTCAACTTATCCAATTGGGCCTGAGCCAATTTTAATTGTTTTTTCGACATTTTCGAACGATGTGGTGTATTGCCACCCTTTGTGGTCCGAACATTGGCCGGCTGACGATAAATGGCCAAATTTTGCTTATTATCGGCATTGTTTTCATCAACACCAGTTCCACTGCTACTACTGCTGCCAGCATCTATTGCCTCCCCACCACCACCTACTTGACTATGGCCGTGATGATTTTTGTGCGAATTGGAATGGCGTGAAATACTTAAACTACTGTTGTTGTTGTTGCTGGTATTGGATGTTGCAGAGTTTGTTTTAATATTTTCCGCCAACATTTTGCTGCTACAACTATTATTGCTGGATATCGAAGATGATGAGGATATTGATAGGGTTGAAGTTGCTGCTATTGAATTGGTAGTTAATGGTGCTGGTGGTGGTAGTAATTTAAGACTATTGTGATGTGTTGGTTGCTGTTGTCGATGTTGATAATGATGTTGATGCTGATGTTGGTGTTGTTGCCGTTGCGGTAATAAATATTCCATTTCTTTTAGATCTTGTGAAGTACATGACATGGCCGAGCGTATTTTCGCAACTGATACAACATTTTGTGTCAATTGTTCAGACCAACGAAATGTTGCATTCTCACGTTCATTATAAGGTTCTTGCTGTTGTTGTTGGTGATGATGCTGATGTTGATGGCGATATTGATGTTGCTGCTGCTGTGGTTCTTGATAGTGATTATTATCTAAACTATGGAAATTTCTTGTACTGTTGTTGTGCTGTTGTTGTTGTAAGTTTATTTGATACTCATGATTTATTGTTGTTGCTGTCGTTACTGATGATGATGCATTTGATGAGGTTGTTGATGATAATGTATTTGTTAATGATGATGAAGGTGGATTTCTTAAGATAACTAAATTGTCATCATTTTGTAAATTACTGTTCGTGCTGTAGTGATAATTGTTGCTGTTGCTGCTATTGTTCTTGGAGTGTTTGCAATTATACGAAGAGCGATCTGATCGCAATGTTGCACTTTTATTAGGACTTAAACTACTTGGTAGTACATTATCTTGGGTGAAAAGTGGTTGAAAAAAAGAACAAAATAAAAAAATTTAATAAATAAAACAAATTAAAAAAAAAAATTAATTAAAAATATAAATTAAATAAAAATCCCTTAACCAAATTATATAAAATATTTAAAAGACGATTAAGTTGCTAGTAAAATTTTTTACAATTTAGTTTTCGGACCAAAACTCGTCTTTTATCGTCTTTTAAATAATAATAATAATATGTATAGCTGTTGTAATAATATTTTAAAAATAATTAACATAAATAAATTAAATAATATATGACCAAAAATATTCCCTATAATTGTAACATTTAACATTTAAATAGAGTTTATAATATGGTGCTTGCCAGTTGATGAGTTTTGTATATGGGATCATTGTATGATGGGTTAAATAATTATAATAATAAACATTTGTGTATGTTTCTGTTTATTCGGAATTTGGTTAAACGACAAAAATATGTAATGATGGTGATATGATCATTTCTTTATTATAACGCCCACATCCATTTAATTAGTTGAATTGCATGAGGGTCAGTTTGCACAGGGTGTTAGATACGTTTTGTATGTATATTTAGATATAAAGCCTTGTACATATATATTGCTTTGGTTTCTTTATAAAGCGTGGTTTGTATGTATGTAGTTTTAAATATGGGTCATAATTTGCTTTAAAACGTCTTACCATCCTTTGCATCATCATATCTATTTGGTTGTACATTTTTATTTTGACAGAATTTTGCCAATTCAGATAGAGTATGAAATGATTTTTGTCTTATAAGGGCACCCGGTGATCGCAAACAACTGCTCATGGGTAGTGAAGTTTTTGTAGGTGATTTTGAATCACTATTACAATAGCACCTGTAAAATTTTTTGTTTTTTTTTTTTGGGAGGTGGAATTTTGAAAATAAAAAGTAAATGATATTAACATGAAAGAACATAAACAAATTGATTTTTAATTTTTTATATAATGGCAGAATGATGAATCTATTTTGTGGGTAAAGGGTAGAGAATCAAATGTATAATTTATATAATGGATACGATGGAGTTTTTCTGTTTTCAAATTACTCAAAATGATTTAGATTTAAAAAAAAAAAACTATTTTTCAAAACCTGTATTAATGTGCAGAATTTTTAAAACATCACGGAGAGCTTCGATTCCATATTACATAAGAAATACGCGATCCTAGATTCGCGTTATAAAACTTTAACAGAATTGAATCTTCTGTTCATTTCAGGCAGAGAACGCGATTCTAGATTCTCTATATAAAAGAAAGATCCGTGAAAACGAAGTAACTGTAACGGAGAGCTAACAGAAACTGTATATTCCTTGTGGACTATCGTAGTCTGGTGGAGTATTGGTATATGATCCTATAAGGGTTGTTGTGTTGCAACAACAAAAGGCAGATCATGGTTTAATTTGCAAACATTTGTGAAAGCGAACTATCTGCAACGGAGAGTTAACACACTGATTACATATTACATGAATGAAAGTACTCTTTGTAGACTAGGATGATAATGTAGTATTGGGATAGGATTCTATGAAGAATCTTGTTGTTCGTTACAGGCAATAAAATCGACCATAGATTCGTGATATAAAACTTTAAACTGAATCGGTGAAAGATTCAGTAACAGCAAGATTTAACAGTAACCGAGAGCTACGCTTCGATTTCAGATTATATTAAATAAACTATTCATTACGGACTAGGATGGTCATGAAGCAGTGTGATAGGATTATATTAAGATCTTCAGGAATTTTGTTGTTCGTTACAGGCAACAAACTCGACTATAGATTCGCTATATAAAACTTTAAACTGAAACGAAGTTAAACTTGCAAAAAAAGATTAATGAAAATGAATTAACCATAACGGAGAGCTACACTTCGATTCCATATTATATTAAAGAAAGCATCGGCGACTATGATGAACATGGATTAATGGCATAAGATTATATAAAGATTTTGTTCTTCGTTTAAAACGCGACCATAGGATTCGCCATATAAAACTTTAAACTGAATCGATGGAAAACCCAGCAACAGCAAGCGGAAGAGGCTGCGTTGGTGACAGTACTTGGTACAATGATTCGGGTCAATAAAATATACAAAAGCGGCAGCTTTTAAAATGAAAGAGAAAGACGTAATGCTTTAGTTAGCAATCTCTGGGAATATAAACCAACTTGGTCGTTCAAATGGAACTTAGTGTGGTAAAGTCCTCATATAAAATTAAGAAATCTAATCGACCTTAACTTTAGAAATAATTTTAATAAATATACATAGTTTTAATTTCGATTTCAATATATAGTTTTAATTTCCCTTTCAGTTCAATTCATCTTAAGATCCTGAGGGAGGAAAAAATAACACAGAACAACGAACAAATTTAAAGAATCGAAGACTAAGTATAGTTTTCTAAAGGATTAAACTGCGCTGAATTCGAATCTTAAGATATTTCCAAGAACAGAGAAAATATAACCGAGGTTAAACCTTTGCTTTAAAGCTGACATATTGGACTTTCATATATCATACCTAAACTTATCAACAAAGGCGTTTTCGCGCTGTTGATAAGTTTAAAAAAGTTTACTTTGTTGTCTGTAATTTAAAAAGAGTAAACTACTGTTTTATTTTATGAATTAAATTTGGGTCAATGATACTTAAATGTAAACATTTTCTGAATAAAAACCCATAATCTAGCAACGTTTTTTAAGTAATTCCACCCAAACAAGAAAATACTTAATGTTTTTTTTAACAATAGTATAAATATTTAAAAACTTCCTATACACAATAGTAACCAATTTAAATATCTAATCATTGTTACCAACAACAGCAACCATTAAAAGACAACCCAAAAACCGCTTATCCTCACAAAAACACTTAAATAATTTCTAGAAACATTTAATCTAAAACTTTCCTATTTCTCTAATCGTTATTTTATACAATTTAACTACCTGGTCATTGTCTCCTTGTTAAACTAAAGTGTATTTTTATTAAGCAGGTCCTTTTTTAACATCATACATATTTAAAATCTCATTTTCCTGCTAACGATTTAAATCCCTGTACATGTTCATTCCCAGATAAAATCCCATACTTAAGGGGTTTGCTGCTGAAAAACCTTTAATATAATACTAATTCACACTTTACTACTAAGAGACAAACACATCGTAAAGACCATGTAATAACAATAACAACAAAATACTCATATAAATAACAGCAACAACATTTAAAAGGAAACCTCTCCAAATAAAAACGTAAGGAACTGGTTAATATCTACTCATACCTTTACACAATAAAGGAGTATCTTTAGCCATAACGAAAAGTTAAGGTGTCAGTTTTTGATCAGTATTTATCTCAAATGTCTAAAGTTACTTTCACATCTATAAAATATTTTACGAAAAAGACGTAACCACTATTTTCTTTTTGGAAATGTTTTTTGATCTTATATTTTTTATAAACGCAAATAATGTCGAGATCAAAAAGTCACACTATTGCATTAAAATATTTGGTAGTGTGAACCGGGCATGGAAGATTTAATACTTTAGTACTTTTTCAGCACTTTTTAAAAATACCGCAGTACTGCCACGACATATTCGGTAGTTTTTCTAGCCTATAAGCATAGACTATTCTATAGTTTAGTCTATAGACTATATATTATAGTCTAGTCTATAGACTAATCTATAGTCTAGTCTATAGACTATTCTATAGTCTAGTCTATAGACTATTCTATAGTCTAGTCTATAGTCTAGTCTATAGGCTAGTCTATAAACTAATCTATAGTCTAGTCTATAGTCTAGTCTATAGTCTAGTCTATAGTCTAGTCTAGTCTAGTCTAGTCTAGTCTAGTCTAGTCTAGTCTAGTCTAGTCTAGTCTAGTCTAGTCTAGTCTATAGTCTAGTCTATAGTCTAGTCTATAGTCTAGTCTATAGTCTAGTCTATAGTCTAGTCTATAGTCTAGTCTATAGTCTAGTCTATAGTCTAGTCTATAGTCTAGTCTATAGTCTAGTCTATAGTCTAGTCTATAGTCTAGTCTATAGTCTATAGTCTAGTCTATAGTCTAGTCTATAGTCTAGTCTATAGTCTAGTCTATAGTCTAGTCTATAGTCTAGTCTATAGTCTAGTCTATAGTCTAGTCTATAGTCTAGTCTATAGTCTAGTCTATAGTCTAGTCTATAGTCTAGTCTATAGTCTAGTCTATAGTCTAGTCTATAGTCTAGTCTATAGTCTAGTCTATAGTCTAGTCTATAGTCTAGTCTATAGTCTAGTCTATAGTCTAGTCTATAGTCTAGTCTATAGTCTAGTCTATAGTCTAGTCTATAGTCTAGTCTATAGTCTAGTCTATAGTCTAGTCTATAGTCTAGTCTATAGTCTAGTCTATAGTCTAGTCTATAGTCTAGTCTATAGTCTAGTCTATAGTCTAGTCTATAGTCTAGTCTATAGTCTAGTCTATAGTCTAGTCTATAGTCTAGTCCATAGACTGGTCTATAGTCTATAATAGCTATTTCAGAATTTAAATTTTCAATGCCTGTTGTGAACGTGCTTTAAAATCACACTTAATAGGATACTTAAGTGTTCCCCAGTAATACAGAGAAGTAGTTAATCGTCTAATGTTTGTCCCTTAGTAATCTGTGTAATACTTTAAAAAGTATTGCAGAGCATAAAGAATATCAATTGTCAATTTGTAATCGAAGTAATGAGCGGTATTCATCTGTAAGGGGCTAATTAACTTGTTCATAGGACAAGTTCTTGGTAATTAACTTATGTAATTACGTAATCTGTAAACCCCGTACTGTAGGGTGTTAACAACACATATTATTACATAATAAAGGTTTAATAAAAAGAACATATAAACAAACACAGTGTGATAAAGATAATTTAAAGAATAAAAAAGTTGAACTAAAGGAAAAACACAAAATAAAGAAAAATAAGTGAAGAAAACACCTACTACTATTCAGGTACGGCATTGGTTTACGTATTGTAGCTGTACGTAAACGTGTTGTACCATATATTCCTTGGCCAACACTTTTAGATAAATCCTCATAAATGTGATTTTTACGATTATTACTTTGGACATAATAAAGATTATCCATATCATCTTGAGTTTCCTTAATATGACTGGACACAGAAGAACAAGAAGAAGGATGTGATGAAATGCGTGGTGGATTTTGCTGCCGTTTAAGTTTTTGTTCCTGTTGCAATTCGTTTAAATATTTGCGACAATATGATTCTGGTATTTGTAGCAATTTGCAAGCTTTACGCGGTACCTCACCTAGGGGCATAGCAGACATTAAATCCTCTATTTGCTGTTGATTACGAGCCCCACAGGTGTAGTAATCGTTCATGTTGGGCGTTGTTTGGGGGGGAGTATCTTTGAAAAGTTGTTCACTAGTTTTACGTGTTATTTGTATATCGTTAGAGTTTTCTGAGTTCTCGTTTTCATCATTGGGAAATTTTTCATATTTTCTTGTACGTTTATGCAAAGGTGTATTAAATTTAAACGGTGAAGTGTCTAGATTGGCTTGATTTAGTTTTCCTTTGAGCAGGCGAAAGGAAGAGCGCATAGAACGCGTGCGCCGTAAGCTTGTAACACTGACCGTACGCGGATCTTTACTGGCGAGTATATACGAACAACGATTAGCTTTACGACGTTCCATTTTGTTAATAAGGGGTTAGTTTTGTTTTTTCTTAAGTTTTCTTATTTTCAATTTTATGTTAAAGGGGATTAAAAGAAAAACTTTTTTATTTTCATTTAAAGGGTTAAATCACTTTTGTTTCTTTTTTATATTTATTTTTTTTATTACAGAACATTCTTTATATCACTGGTAAATTTTCACATTTTTCACTTTGTTTTTTAATTTTTTCGTTCATTTTTCAAACATTCTTAACTGCCATCGTCATACGCTGTTTCGAAACAAAATTAAACTGATTCCATTGTCAGACGTGATTGCGTTTAGCTCTCAACCCCGTGTTTCTTTCAGTGATGTTAAAATGTGCATGTTGTTGTTATTATTGTATTTGTAATCCCGTTTGGCCTGCCTGTCTAGGCAACCATCAGCAGAGGTGAACCTTTTGTGCGAGAGTGTGTATGTGTGTTTTTCATTAAGTGTTGTTGTGTTGCATGCTTTGAGGTAAAATAGACAGACAGTTTTACGGAAACAACCATACAAGGGATGAGTTATGGACATTTTTCATTTATACTATATACAAAAAATAGTACTTTTGATCCATTATTGTATCAATATTAAGAACATAAGATCATGGAAAGATCCTTAGAGTTCATTTCTCAGAAGCTATACATAAACTTAAAAATTGATACCTTAAAAACTCAAAAAGTTGATTAAACTTAAAATTTTAAAAAATGTACTTTTGTTACAATTTACAGTTCAACACTGATCTCTACATAAGCTACCCCTCTTTTGCCATACACATAAAAAACAAAAAAGGACAGCTGTCCATGAAAGTGCTTATGTGTCAGAGTAAATCTGTGTGTGTGTTAGTTAAAAGTGTTTAAAAACGAATTTGAAAAGATTTCCCCTGAGTACATTTCATTTAAAAATCCTGTAAATTCACATTTAACGTTTGTTAGTGTTTCTTAGTTGTAGTTGTTTATGACTGTAGGTATGAAGAGTATAGGACATTTTACTCGTATCCTAATTGTATTATTTTTTAAATTTTTGCTTGTAGCAAAATGGTAACATAATGATCTTGTACTTAATTAGTAATGTCATTTTTTTTACCAGGAAAGTAAACAAGGAAAAATATCATATTATCACATTATACGTAATTTCTCACCTTAAAATGTTGAGGTATGATTAAGGAAGTAGAATACATTTGCATAAATATATGTATAACGAATGCTGTTTGTTATAAAACGTATTCTCACAGAAATTATTCTTTATTAAGAAATTCTTTTTAGGATATCAAATGATCGATAAATTCCTAATCTCAATATGTTTACGTAAAGGGTTAATCGGTTTTGAGTGAGCCTTTCTTAAAGTACATAAGCTTTCAAGAATATCGCGAAAGTGTTTCTAATGATTTGTTTTTGTTGTAAAGAAGTTTTGACAGTTGTGAATCATCTACCGATGACGATATGCAAAAGTTTGTGTAAATTGTTCTAGTCCAGTCTATAATATATATTCAAGACTATAGTTTATTATAGTGCAGCCAATGGTCTAGACTATTGTCTGTTATACAGACTATAGACTAGATTTTGTGCTGGTCTACACAAGGAAACTTAATTAAGAAACTTTTTCTTAATTCTGTTTTAAAGTTTCCTTAATGTCTACACATAGAAACATTTGTTTCAGCAACTACGTGTTAATTGCAGAAACCCCGTAACGCGAGAGAGATGAATGATATTTCTTTCTCTCACACACAAAATCAAAAGTTTCCTAGAGGCTATTGTCCAGAATGTAGGCTTAAGTCAAAAATATATAGGCAAGGCTATACTTTGGACTATGTATACAATACTATATACATTACTCATCGTATAGAGGGTACCGAGTTAAAACCAAAAACATGGACTCGCCACAACTCGACATCGATCTCAACAACTAGGCCTTTACAGAGTCTTGGACTGCAATGTACTGAAATATATGATCATCTTTGGTTTCATTGTAGAATTATGTCATACAACTCATCAAACAGTCGATCTTTTGCTCACTAAGTTCGGAAATCGTGTTATATGTCGTCTGGGCGATATCGATTTGCTGTGATTTTGCCCCCTTTGAACTTAGATTTCCGTGAGTCTGATGCTATGTGAAGCCAGAAACGATTCACACCATTAAAGCTAACATTGCCGAAGCCGTTTATAAGATGGAACCAGAGACCATCAACAAAATGCAGACCAGCGTGATAAAATGTCATTACGTTTAGTTAGAGTTCGTTAAAGTTTAAAGAGAAACTTATATTCGGACCACCTTTTATACAAAGAACAATCGATCTATACCGTAGTTTAAAAACTGTAACAGGTTATATTCGGGGAGTAGAAGTTAAAAACTTTTCTACAATGTTTGGCCATATGGAACCTTACGCACGTACTGGCTGACTAGCTAGATCGGGAGATATGGGCGGGGATCTTGTTCCATTGTACCTGGTTCCGTACAATAAGAAAAAACTTACGTGCGATTTAATTGCCCTTTTTATTAAATAAAAAAAAAACTATAAAAATTCCTCCTACAATCAATATCACATCCTTTTGTTAGCATTGGTGTTATTGCTAAAGGCTCTCAACCCACCCGACCGTGTTTTCCTAAGGCCTATAAAGTTTATAAGAAAACCCTATCACACATTACCTTACCTCTGTCCCTGTAGTTCTACATAATCAAAAGAGTATCACACTGTCATAATTTCAATTTCAAAATTATATGTATTATAACAAAATCTCTTCAGAAATACATTTCATTATTTCTCTTAAATTTAAAGTAAGTAAATTATTATGATAATAGATAAATTATAAAAGAAAGAGTAAAAAAAAAGTATCATTCTCATTTACCTTAAACAACAGAGAAAAGCTTCAACAATTCAAATCAAAACTCACTAAAAGAGTAAAGCAACAAACTTTCTTTGTTGTTGTAATGTTTAATGAAAAATGAAAAGAATAAATCAAAATTATCAATGAGCGAGTAATTACTACTAAAATATTAACATCTTATTGGAATAATAAAACAAAAGGAACTAACAAATTGTAACTTACAGTAGGGTCTCGATTCCAATGCTGAAGGCCTTCTGCTTGATGATTTTAGAGTCGATTTACACCGTATTTGTAATGTTTATATTAAGATGTTAATTTTAGTATTAATTTTTACTTAGTTAAATTATTTAATAGTTAGGAAAATTTAATTATAAGTTAATTATAAGTTATAATTAATAGTTCTTAAAATTTCATCAGATCATGTTTTAATTTAGAAAATATTAATATAGGTGTTAGTATATAGAATTTTGATTTAGTCGTTTTTAATGTTTGAAATAACAAATGATCATATTGTTCGGTATTTGTTTTTAAACTTTAATGGACATATTATTTCAAATATTAGATACGATCATTAAGCTAAGTTTAATTGTTGTTAATATTAAATAGTTGTTAATATATTGATATAAATTTAATTTTTCTGGATTTTAAGATGTGATTTTAATAATGAATTGTTAAAATTTGAACTTCTTAAGATAGTTTATAAGCCGTAATTATAATTTTAGAAGTTAGTTGTAATTTGGAAAGAAATTTATTCTGTTGTTAATTGGTAATTTTGAGTCTCTAAGTTAGAATATTAGGAAATTTGTTTATGGGTTAGACTGAATCATTGTAAGGTGTATTATTTTCTGGATTTCTGTTGAATACTTCTATGATTTGTGTCCAATCCCGTTTTGATCAATGAAATTTTGGTTTTGCTGAATTATTACTAAGCACTTTGTTGTCCATGCGGAACAGATTCAAGGCATGTAAAACTACTAGTTGGTGGCCACATCAACAGATTTTGAGGCAACACTCAAACTGGTTACTCTCGAGTAAGTGACTGGTGTTTGGGACACGTTGTCCCAAATCTTGGTCCAAGATAAATAATATTTACTCGAGAGTATAGTATAATAATCCTTTCTGTTTATAATTGTAAGGAAAGATGTAATTTTCCTTTCGAATATAGAGATTTAGAAATTTCTTTTAAAATTGTAAAAATTTGTAAAATTATATACAGCAAATTATCTTTTAAACTTTATTATTTAGTATATTCTGTCTTTTTAAACTTTATACAATTCAGAATTTTCAGAGAAAACCACGTTTTCTTACTATTATCACTTTTCCCACAAATATTTGCCGATGTGTGTGATTTCACTGCTGGATTTAAAAAGAACGAACAAATGTATTTTACTAAAAAGCCAACCAGTTCAGATAATTGTAAGCTTATTATCATGTATATCTGATAATATGCAAATATTGTAAGAAAAGCTTTTATTTTTTCCCTATGAAAATAGTAAATGTTTAAAAGAGACAACAATATAAGATTATATCTCTCTCATATCATGTATACTTTGCTGAGAATATATACATGATCGAAAATGCTGAAAAACGCAAAGAAGAATAAAAAGATCATAAAACCACATTGGTCCAGTGTAATATTGAAAGGTACTTAATAATGCATTGTTGCATTTGTAAGTACTTAATATTATCACTTAAAATGTTAGGGAAGTATTCTCATCGACATATACCTAATTAAATTGATGTTAAAAAGTCAAATTAAAGTAAATTTTTAAAATTAAATTGAAATAAAACTGCAAAGGAGTAGAAATTATAAAATTGTCACATTACAAAACAGGTTATGGAGAATTATTTTCGAATAATGAAACATAAGCTGAAGACAACAATTTTATACAAAAATTTTGTTAAATTTTTCGAAATTGGGTGTTAAATGTAGTTTAAATTGGTTTTATTAAAATGCAAAATTGAATATCTTTTAATTAATTGAAGTTTTCCCTCTTTTTCTTTAGTAAAATTATTTTCGAAAACAATTTTGATTTAATACATATTTATCAGGTGTGATCAGGATCTAATGTCCTTGGCATGAAATTTGCCTAAAGGCTTGCCTTTCATGTCCTCTAGTTCATAATAACACGTCCCATGTTTGGCTTTAACTCTGGCTTTCTCAAATTGATTTGCTAGTTTGCTGTTATAGTGTTCAGCTGCTTTAGACTGGGAAAAGTTTCGTCTGTAAACAATTTGTCCGATATCAAAACTTATAGGTCGAGATCTGAGATTATAATATTTTACGTTTTTGTCATAGGATCTACGTATGTTCTCTCGCGCCTTTTCCCTCAAGAGCTCTAATTTTTCATCATGTCTTAAATCTGCAGGTGTTTCTAAAATATTCAGATTTCGCAATAGGGAATAAGATTTGCCATTTGTTAGCATATTTTGGCCGAATAATAGGAAATAAGGGGAATATCCTGTGCTGATATGTACTGAACTCCGTAATGCGCAACTAATTGCGGATAGTTTTGCGTCCCAATCCTTTTGAGAGGGTTTAACATAAGCTCTAATGGCGGCTAACACTGATCTATTTACTCGCTCACTGGCGTTTGCCTGAGGCGAATAAATGGCAGTAAAATTGTGGAAAACTCCATA